AGGGAGGAAGGGGGAAGGAATGAATTACAGCTTTCCAAGAGACCAAAGTGCCAGTCAACCCTGAGCAGAAAACAAATCGTGGCTTTGGTTTGTTGTACATGTGAGATACACCAACATATCACAACTTAGTCATTGCCACTGCTCTACACTTTTGGTTGGTTCATCCTAGAACCACCCCAGTCCCCTTACTCTGCCTCACTACACTCCTTTCACCTATTGTCTCTATCAGTCTACGTTCTCTGCATTTAAAAGCCTGTGCCTCCAAAAACAGTCACTTTTACAACAAGAATATTAACAAAGTTCTCTGCAGAACACTTCCCATCTAAGCTATCAAGTGGTTACAAGGCAATAGGCTGTGCGTGTGTGCAGGGGTGGGGGGGGGAATCCATCAATCTCCACTTCCTCTCCTCTCCCCACCTATCACCTATAGGGGCCTTGCCTCTCCCTATCCTTCAACAACTACGGAAATATCAGTATTACTCAGTCTCCCCTCCTCAGCTCATTCCTGAGCTCCAGACCCTCAGACTTATGCCTTACTTTCCCCAAAGAATGTAACTTATGGTATCATGTAGCTTCTCACCAAAACACACAGAAAATCATACTTTTTAAAGATTTGCAATGAGGATGAAGTGGGCTAACCAGTTAATGCCATGGCATACACAGGGGCCAAGAATGGGATCCAGGACCCTAAAGAAATGTTAGGCCTGCAGGAAACTAGGCAAACAATGCAGGGCAGGTTCCAGAGGGTGGCACTGGATGTGGGATGAAGGACTGGACTGTTAGAGAAAAGTAAGAGATGGGAAATGGTTAGAATAACCAGGTTATTGCCCAACTCACAGTGCTTCTTGCCAGTGAGCCAAGCCCTCACCAAGGACTTTACTAAATGGCCCAGTCATCCCACAGGGAACTGACCCAAAAGGATTCCAGAAATACAGAAAAGCTTCCCAGAGCCTCCTCCTCCTGCCTTGCTTTCTGCACTTCCCATTCTTCTGCCCCTGGCAATCTGCATGGAATCATCACCCAGCACAGGTGCTGAGTTATTCAATTATTCTAGCAGCTTTTGAAACACATGCGTAGCTAGAGATGCTTCCGAAAAGAGGAAAATCCTGTTATTTAGGCTACTAGGTCAATTTTTGATCCTCTCTTGAATTCCTGTTTGCCACGTAATTGCTTTTCAATTAACTAAGCAGCTCACTGACACTGGATCCTTAGTAGCAAGATGCAGCAGCAAATACCATCACCAACAATTGGCTTCCAGCTCACTGCGAAGTCACAAGCAGGCATGCTACGTCCAGGTCTGCTCAGCAACCCCCAGGCTCCCGCCCTCAGGGCACACACTGCAGTAGTTGCAGAAATACACACACTCCAGGGAAGCAAAGGATCTGAGGAACGAATGACTTCCAGCTATTCCCATCCTCTGACACACAGCTCCAGCCTGCCTTGTTTCCAGACTCAGACTGCTACCTTCTAAGCTCTGTCATAATGCTAAAGTCACCAAAATAATCTGTCTGCCCTGCGATCTGGAAGCCACTCCTAACACCTCTCCCACAACCCACCCACCCGCAGCACGCCAGCTCTCTGAGATATTTTCTCCTGTAGAACAAACCAAAGAGATTGTTCCGGGGGTGCGGGGGAGGGCAGCTAGTCATAAGGCAGGTCTTCGGGAGTCCAGTTTAGAACAGGGTTTCTTTAGCCCTCTATCTTTCACTCTGAAGAACCTGACTGTGAGGCAGGTCAGAAAAGGCAAGTACTTGCCAGAGGTGACCTTTAACCCCAAATAAACGGGAAGACTAAAGCAAATGATATTTTTCCATTTAGTCAAAGCAATCTGAATTAGTCAAAACAAACTCTCAGATGCTGCCCCGTAAACATCAAGCCAGGATCCCTGAGAATGAAGATCTGTAACATACAGAAAGCAGAGCACCGGAAATATTCTGGTTAGGCTGGGGAATTACTCTCTCAAGCAAGTGCTTGGTGTTCAACACAAAGACCTGAATTGCATCCCAATAATATACACAAAAGTACTAGCCATGGTGGCATGCTCTCAAAATCTCAGAGCTGGGGAAGGGGCGACAGACTGGTCATGGGGGCTTGCTAGCTAGTCTAGACCCTGTCTCCGAGTCTTCCTGGGTAGAACACCCATAGCTGTTCTCTAGTCTCCACATATATGTGTATACACATGAACCCTCACACACATGCTTCTACACACACACACACACACACACACACACACACACACACACACACACACCCATACATATACCTCTCCCAACTCACACACACACAGAGATTGATTGATTTAGGCCACCGTGCCCACACCACTATGTGCATGCCACAGGATGGAATGAGGCATACCATGGTGCCAAGGAATAATAAAACATATAAGTAAAACAAAAGAATAAAACACTCATCATCACGGGAATTGGAAATGCTTGAATTCCACTATCATCCTCTTTCCCAAGAGGCTCCCAAGATGCCCACAGTCATGGGAAGGAGAAAGCGTATGTCCCTGCCTCCCCCGATTCCATCCATTCTCACCATTCCGCCACCTGTTCAGCTCCATCTCCAGATGCTGGATAACACTCTTCAAGGCCTTGTTCTTATCTTTCTCCTTTTCATATTTCTTCTTCCATTCTTCTGCTGTTAGTTCCAAGTTCACCGAGACTGTATTTTTGATGGTCTTTGCTCTGGGGTTAAAACACAAGGAATCAATTCTGAAACTAGCCATCAACATTCACTGATTTTATATAATCAAGCCTCGGATTCCCTTCACGTCTCAGAATGGACTGGGATAGCAGAGGCTTCCTGTGGTATCTACCTACAACCCTCAAAGCTGGGTAAAGGGTACTGCTACTTCATTTATTTAAAAAAAGATTTATTTTTATTATGTGTGTGTTTCTGTGTATGCATATGTGTGTCAGTGTATTACGGGGGGGGGGGTGTTTGTGTGTGTGTATGTGTGTGTGTGTGTGTATGTGTTCATGTGCTCCCTTAGAAACCAGAAGAAGACATTGGATCCCTGGGAGCTGGAGTTATGGATGTTTGTGGGATGTCTGATATGGATACTGAGGTCTGAACTCTGGTCCTCAGGAGAGAACAAAAAGCACTCTTAACTGCTGGGCCATCTCTCCAGCCTCACACTGTTACTCGTTGAGGCTCCAAAAACCATCCTACCCTTTTCTCCTTCAGACTCCATGAGCCTTTCAATCCAATGGGCTTTTATTCAAATTGTGTCTCAGAGTCTTATCTTGTCGAACTTCTGCCCCCTCAGTCTGTTTTACCCCAAATGTTCACCATGTTCCTTTAGTCATTCCTCAGACCATTGCCAGATTCATCTCCTAAACAGATTCCCATTTATTTCAATAAACATTTATAAAACACTGGGGATATACCAACACAGGTGGACAAGGTTCCCAGATTCTCGGAGCTTGGGGTTTGTTATGTCAGGGACTATGGTGATATCTTGTCTGTACAAATAAAGCTTGCCTGAAGGTCGGAGGGTAGAGCTAGCCACTAGCTAACCATAGAGGTCCTGAGGTCTGTACAGACGGACAGGAAGTGATATGGTTGGGTGGCGAGACGAAGGGAAAAGGCAGGAGGAGACAGGAGCTCAGTCTCTTTTCAGCTGGGAAGCTGAGGAGGTAAGATGGCTGTGGTTTTGTTCCTCTGTCTCTCTGATCTCTCAGCATTTTCCCCTATATCTGACTCTGGGCTTTTATTATTAAGACCTATTAGAATTCATGTTACAAGGGACAAAACTGAATGATCAGTTACTTCTCTTATTTGCTTTTGGTACCTAGAACCAAAGTGTTGGGCACATGCCAACCCATAGCTATAGTGTAGGTGGGCCGCATAGGTGAGGGAGGCCGACTAGTGGACACCAGGGCTTCCTACTGATCCCCTCATCAAAGGCAAGGATCACCATGCTAGAGTAAAGGGATAATTGTTCTCAAATCATCGCATTGTTCAAAAATAGCCAGAAGTTGGGATTTTTAATATTTGTATTTTCTAAGTTCAAAATGTTTTAAAAAAATAATACATGACAAAACATGCCTCACGGGCATTATTTTTCATTATCTCTTAGGGCATGTGGCCTACGGGTGTCATGCAATGTGCACAACTGCTGTACAGGTAATGAAAGAAGCTGGAAAGAAAAAAAAAATCACCATCTGTATTAGGTGAGATTAAACAAAAGGCTTGGCTCACCTAAGTCCACACAGAAATGGACAGGTTTAGCCATGTCCAAGGAAAAGTGGATTCCTGATGTAGGAGTCCATTTGCTACTTGCTCATTAGGCAAGTAAAGCTCTTGTGAAAATATATGATGCTCTGTCTTACTTGCTATTGACGTTCTCATTTTAATCTCCAAACAATTCCGGGACTGTCATGTTTGCTGGTACAGCTGATGTGTGATCCAGGTTAATTACTGTTGTCATCAAATGACACTTAGAACATGATTTCTATTTTGGTGCAAGAAATTCAACAGTCCTCTCTACTGCTACAGATGCCATTCCAAAATTAATTCCTAAAGAAGACAACTAAATAACCCAACTGTCGAAAGAGGAATTAAACTACTTCAGTGTTGGACTCACTAAAGATTTAGGGTAATTCTCATTTGCTGTAGCTTGAGGCTGCTCTCTCCGGAACTATCTCAGCTCTAATTCTTCAATAGCAGTAATTTTATTACTACTTTAAAGCTTGTTGCAGTCTGGCATTCTCACCCCGCCTTCTGACATCCTCGGGCGATGCTGAGGCTGTGTCTGGGATGCAAGCACAGGCAGAGCAGTGTCCATTCCGTTATCAGAAGGTGCAAAAAACAACTCATACCTAAAATGCTTGCTTTAGACTACCAAGTCTACTTAAGTCATAAATAGGCCCCAGATGGCCCCAAATGGTAACAGAGAGAAAAAGATGGAGTCTCTGTGCTGCCTCCAGGCAGGATTAGTCAGAGGCACATTGTTCAGCAGACCTGTCAAGGTTTCTGCAGGATAACTGATCTTGGTTCCTGAGCTGCCCAGAACATTCTTTTTCTTCTACTTCTGTAGTAAGCAGAGTCCTGGCAGGAAAGAACTCTGATCTACTCAATTCATACAATTTGCAGAGTTTAACAAAGGTATGGAAAGGTGCTGAGGAACAAGGGACAATGTAACGCCTATATTAGTAGACATGGGAAAAGCCTCAAAAAGAGAGCTAGAAGAGACAGCTTGCTTGTGGGACCTATAATGGCCTGTGGTCTGGGGCCATCCAGCCTAAAATGAGTCTGCAGGGAAATAAATGCTGGCACTCATTCCCTCTGTTCTTTCTGATCACCTACCCATGTTTTCTCCTTACTGGCCTGACCTGACTAGCGGTCAGATGTAAGGGGGCCACTGCAGTGGCTGAAAAGAGCAGAGCTGAGCAGAGACAACAGGGCAGAGTCAGAGGAGGAGATAGAAAACAACTCAACCCAATTCTGACCTGGAGCTCAGCAACCATGAGAAACCACAGCTCATGCTGGATCTCTAGAATTCTCTAGGCTCCAAATGAGACTCATTTTGCATCCCCTGAGGCCAGGATATGGAAGAAAAAAAAAACAAAACAAAAAACAGAGAGTTGACTCTAGCAAAATGGCTCCATAGACTTAAAATATCTCCCATTTCCTAGAGAGAAAAAGAGAAAGAGATTGTGTGTGTGTGTGTGTGTGTGTGTGTGTGTGTGTGTGTGTGTGTGTGTGTGTGTGTGTGCACTATATAGAAAGATATATATATCTA